ACGCTGTGGAGAGGAGTCTTGAAGTGCATTACAGAGTCTCGTAAGTGCAGCACCTAAACTCTTGAAAGCACATTAAAAAACCGAGCTTGAGGACTGCTTAAAATTTGCAATGTAGTACAAGACCCGCGCTTCAAGCACCAAACTTTAAGCTACAGGTTTAAGATTCTGGCTGCAAATTCAACGCTTCGAGGGAAGACCAAGCCTCATCGTTTATCTTTCAAATAAAAGGTCTCAGAATTATGAATTACAGTTCAAAATTCATGTGCAAGTTTCAAAATTGAATTGTCAAGGCTCAATCTTTAAAATCATATTGCTCCAAGTCACACCCTCAAGGATCCAGCTTCAGGACCCAACTTTCAAGGGTCAATTTTATTCTATTCATTTTCAGTTTGGCGCACAATTGAGCCTACTCCCTTTCTTTCGCAACCAGGTTGGAAGCCCGCTCTGATCAAGGCGGTACAGTGACAGTAGACCACACGCTCGGTAGTTTTATCTAACTGGCCACAGAACCTGCACGTGGGCTCCTCAACAAACCCAATGTTATGCCGGTGACAACTGACCCTCCAGTGCCACGTGAAGACACCGATGATTTTCCTAATCTCGCTTCTATTCAGCTTTAGAAGCTTAGAAGACCCAGATTGGCCAAGAGGCTCTGTTAAAAAGGCCCTAGTCTGGTTGCGTGCTGCTACTGAGCCTAGAATTGACTGGTCACCCAGTCTTTAATTCTGGCCCTAACAGCGGAAGGACCAATATTCATAGGATATGCTCGGACCCGATGACGACCCTATCGACCGTCTTTGGTTTTCATGGCTCCACTGACTCCCAGACAGGCGAGTCTCTTCAAGGGTCAAGCTACAAAATTGAACATTTGTGGTCCAAGCTTTAAGGTATACCATTTATGTTTTAAGTTTTTGAAAAGATCTTCAATCTCCAAGTACCACGTTTAAAGATTCTAGTTTCTAGTTTCAGCTGAAAGATTTTAAATTCCAAGACAGGTTCAATCTTCAACAGGGTTTTTAAGTAATACTATGTTTCAACATCTCTGACTTTAAAGTTTACCTTTAAAAGTTAAACTTCAAACACGAAGTTCTAAGATTTAGGTTTCAAAATTTAAACTTCAAGGTCTAGTCTTCAAGGCTCTAGCTGACGTTCCAAGGTTCAAACTGTAAAACTCAAATCTCAAAATTCAAGGTTCATGGTCCAATCTTGAAGGTTCGTGTAGAAACACCGGAATCCTCGAACTTGGAGTTGGAATAGCAAAAACTGAAATAAAAGATACCAAGGAAACTTTAATAGAACAAATGCAAAGCTGTCATAATCAACGAGCAACTCAAAAGCTATTGAAAACTCGATCTCGCGTCTTTAATGTTTTTGTTTTAACCTTTGTTGAAGATTCGAACAAATAGGCACTTTAAGACATAAAAGTTTAGTTTAAAAACTGAATTCGAAGCTTCAATATACCGCCCTCCTCGGGATTTAAGAGTCTGGTTCTAAAATTTACATCTGGCTACACTCCAAGTTTCGTCCTTTAAAATGTAAGCTTCAAGGTCTACGATTCAACACTGTAGCCATGCTAAGTGCAAACTTCAAGATGTAAGCTTTTTAAAGGTCAAACTTCATTATTTAAAGTTTCAATACTTATTCATATTTCGTTCAGTCCAGCTTCGTGCTTCAAGTTAATGTTCAGGGTCATATTGAGCTCATCTCCAAGTGGCGGATAGAAAAGTAACTTTGGGAATGACCACACGGGCGTCTGGCCTTAAAAATCTCTCTAACCATTTTGAAATTGCTGAAAAATGCTTAAGAATGTTAGTTCTAGAGGCTTTAGACCCTTTCAAGAGCTTTAATGTCCCTTTCCAGGGAAACATTAACAAGGGGATGTTTGATAATGTTTAATACTTCACTAAAGGGTTGATATTGGCACAAAGATGTGCAGTGGGAGGAGACCTAGAAAAAAAAGGTCTTTGCAAAACACAAGTAAATGGTGCAATGGACGGGACGACGAGGTAAAAACGGTACGGACTCGAGTGCCACCAAGGGGTGCGGTCTTACTCTTGAGCAAATATTCGGACCGATTGCGGAATGGTTGCCGCAGGTAATGCTCAAGTAGAAAACTGAACTCCAAGTATCGGACGCTTCAGCAAATGGCGGCGGTCACCGTCCAACATAATCTGAATGTAAAATTAAGGCACGGAAAACTTAATTAGCAGTTCCTACGGAAGGTTAAATGCGGGTTACCATAAACGAGACATGCCCCCCCCCCTCCTGAAATTAAACGGAAAGTAACAAAAAATTTACCTTGCAATTAACGGAGCGGTAGCAATTACTGTACATCGGGAAAAAGAAAAATCTATAAATACGGTGCGGTAAACTTGATGTAAAAGAAAAAAATAAACGGTCTGAATGCGTAATAAATTTAAGGAAGGCTCAAAATTACATGCAAAATATAATACAATTAATTTCAAAAAAGCCAAAATTGAACGGTACGGATGAAAAGTAAATTTACCGAATAGCTTAGATCACTTAACAACAAGCAACAGTAGAAAAAAGATCTCCTCTAAATTAAACGTTTATGTTGCTAATTTGTAATCGGGGTAATTAGGAAATGTAGATCCAATTAACTAGGGAACTAAACTGCAAATTTTTTCATAATAGCAATGTAAGTAGGTACAAGGAATGGGGTCAGGAAATTGCAAGTAATACAATAATTATAGTATGTCAAGTAAATATGTAGCGTCATAGGTTAGGATTATAAAAGCTAAAGCATCACAATAAACTATTATTAGATCTTAATCGGTCCTTTAATCACGTCGTTGGCGTTCGCGATGGTATTCCAACCCATGCATTCGTCAGGACAGTGAGGCTGCTGTTCAACCCTCATCAGAGATCGTCAGCGGCATTAAAACCGAAGCTCTCCCCATCCACAAGAGAGTTTTTGTTTAGTTTACCCCAGCCGTCACAGCATATTCGGTTATCTGTTCTTTAAGCAATTACGTCCTTTCCAGACGTCTAAGTGGTCTAGTTCGTAGCAAATAGGTTGCTAACATACCTGCCATTCTTGACCTTATATTAATTCCCATCCAGTCTTTACATCTCACTAACACATATTTGCAACTTTAGGTCATGCACACACGAAATAAAAATCATTACTTTCACTGTCCAAATTAGACAAAAAAAACTCATTAAAAACACGCGGAATAACACTCCTGATTTTAGAAAAATGATCTGTATTTGCAATAGCACCTTACTATCTTCATCGCCGTATTTCACAGAAAATGAGACGCTAACGTTTGTAACGTCGGTAATACAGAAAACGCATGTATCTAATCCAAAATGTATATACATACCATATAATCCCATGTATATACATAGAAGATCCTCGTGAGGAGGTATAAGATTTATACATAAAAGATACATACAATGTGTGCGCATAAACATCCATATCACATCCAAAATGTATATTTATAGAATATCCATACTGGACATAAAATACATAATGTCTATAATGAATATACATAGGTAGTATATACATAAGATGGACAGGATATTCCCTGTACATTATCGACTTAAAATGTAAATACATAAGATATCGAATGCTATGTGGGATGTAGCAGGACCAAAATTCAAGATCTATGGTCCATAATAACCCATGTTTTAAGGTAGGTACCATAGTTTACTCAAAATAGTCAAAATTAAAATTTCAGGATGCAGGATTTTTTAGGGTTAAACTTTTATAAATTAAACTGAGCTTCTTGACTCAAGCTTTCCTGAAAGAGCGAGTGAGAGTCTGGGGAAAGTACCTATATTTTTCAGACTTCCTTAGAAGCTTTCCAGTTCTTTATTAATCTTTCCAGAGCATTCTATCCTCTAAGGGGCACGTGCTTGGTATGTTTGTTGGTAAATCCGCTAATAAGAACGTTAGCTTTAGTTTTGGATGGAACAAGATTGATGTCTAGTACATTTTAACCTAGAAAAAACGAAATTAACAGCTACATATTTACTACAACTACAGCAAAAACTGTTTCTGGGGAGATTAGTCAATTATAGCAATTTTTGAATTTTTTAGGTGAATGAGCGATCTAACGCATAATTAGTGTAGTAAATACCTTGAAAGCTGTGAACGTAGTTTCGGTGCGAAGGCCGGACAGACAGAAAAAGTTGATGCAATTGTGCAGTCAACAAAAGCACATAGGTACCTACTATCATAGCTTTACACTAAGCTACTATACAAAGATTGTATGACAAGCAACATTTTCATTGCGGAGATTCACACTCCAAACTCCAATGTCCCCTAATTTGCATACAAACAAGTTTATTCATAAACACGTATCTAGCACTATCTACATTTTTGTATACTTTAATTTTAGCTATCAGCAGGGGCGGACTGACCCGGGGGGGGCGGGTAGCGATTGCCACCTGGCCTGTAGATCATAATGGCCCGTTGGAAATTTATAAGTATGTGCTGTATTTAGTTTCTTGCACTATTAAAAATTATTAACACGTTTCTCTCATTGGGGTTGATGTTATATGTTGTTCATTAAAAAATTCTGTTTTTATTTAAGTGTTTTCCAATGAATTTATGATTTTTTGTCGTATTTTGAAAGTGCTGGAACACAATTATAGGCGACGCGCCTCGTTTGGATTATGTATATTTTGTTATTTTTCATTATCAGCTGCAATTTAAAAAAAACTATATTCTAATTGATTTTCGAGAAAGGAATACTTTAAAATGAAGCAAAAAATGTTTTTGTGTGCACCGCTGAGCTCCCCCCCCCCCCAAATCTTCCTAACACAAATACTTTAATGGCCCGTAACCTTTGCAATTCCACCTGGCCCGTAAGTACCCAGTCCGCCCCTGGCTATCAGTTCTTTTTTTCAATTTAAAAAACGAGGTGTAGAGGGTGTTTCAGGAGAAATAGTAGGTAAGTATTATATAGGGAGTGATAGTAGTTCATATAAACATGCGTTTAATGGTTGAATGGTCAACCAAAGTCTGAGATCGGTAGGCAAATGAAATTTTCTAATACATTTTGACCTGCAAAAACCAAAAACAGAGCCATGCGACATTGTGCATCCAACAGCAACAGAAACCGCCTGTATTACCTAAAAATAACATTTTTATTGTAGGGACTTTCATTGTCTCAGTAACACTAATCTGCAGATAAACAAGTTGTTTTGAAACATTTATGGTTTGATAGTACTATCTACATTTTTCTAAAAGCTAACGTTAGTTCTATACCTAAATCTTTCAATCTTTGCCACGGAATGTCTGGTTTCACGAAAATATTATTCACAGTCATATGCTGTACTACAGGTAAATGCTTGTTAATGTGTTGCTTAATTTAAAATGATGTGTTTAATCGTTTAGTATATCAAAGTGTTACCTTGGAGCAACCCGTTGTTGACACACCCTACGGTAGGGTGGCAGGAACATATTTAACGTCATATTCTGGAAGAAGATTTTCTCAATTCTTAAGCGTGCCTTATGCGAAACCACCAGTGGGAGAATTACGCTTCGAAGTAAGTGGATTTTTCGGGTCCGTTAACTTAGCACCACCATTTCAAATTTTTGACTAAAGATAGATTGCGCTAGAATCTCTATAGCTAGCGCCAGCTAGCGCCACTTTGAGTTCAGCTAGCGCCATTATAGATTTTGCAGAAAAGCCCTTGACTTTCGGGGGGTGCTATGTTAACGTTAGCACCACCATTGCGTCCGATCACTTCCAAAAGCAAGCGCTGTGTTCGTCAGACCTAGCGCCAGCTAGCGCCACAAATTTTAGAGCTAGCGCCACCCCCCAATTGTGAGGGGAGCAATTTTTCCTAGCACCACCATTTTGTCTTTTCATGTAAAATTTTGACGTTTTGTGTTCTGCTGACCTAGCGCCACTTTGAGTTCAGCTAGCGCCATTATAGATTTTGCAAAAAAGCCTTTGACCTCAATAGGTTGGGGGGCAAATTTCCTAGCACCACCATTTTGTCTTTTCGGGTAAAATTTTTACGTTTGGTGCTCTGCTGACATAGCGCCAGCTAGCGCCACTAACTTTACAGCTAGTTAACGAGCTCCTAGCGAGTTTCTAATTTTGCGGTATCTGTCTGCCCGTTAGCACGATATCTCGATAACGAATTGACCGATTACGATGAAATTTTGTAGATGGATTCTTTATCAAATTAGTAGATCGGAGTTCGTGAATTGGAAATATAGCTCAAAAAATAAGGAAGGCTCTTTTGACATCTGCGTGAGTTATGAACCGAATTGTATGAAATTCAATATGCGTATAGCTTTAGCCACATAAAACGCAATTCCAAAAGTTGAGCGTAATCGATCAACATTCACAGTGCCCTTTTCGCATCTCGACCATTTACAAACCGGATTGAAAACTTTCTTATTTATGGAACCATTTAAAAGAAATTTGATACATAGCCACTTGGAATAAAAGCAAATTTAACGCCAGTTTCAAAATTTGGTTTTGTGCATGATGTGCGGTGCCAATTTTCTTATTTATGGAAGCAATTAAATGAAATTTCATACATATACACTTTAAATAAAACCAAAACTAACACCAAGTTCAAAATTTGGTTTTGCACATGCTGTAGCCATACCCAGGAGCTCGTTTTCTATATTTATTTACACGTCGATGCGAAAAGGGCACTGTGAATGTTGATAGATTAGGCTCAACTTTTGGAATTGCGTGTTATATAGCTAAAGAGCTTGATTTTTAATCGGATATTTTATTTTTACACGAAAGTTTTGTTGCAACGGAAAAAACTCGAGACCAAAAGTGTGATAAAATCGCGAAAGTTTTAGCTGGAACGATTTTATTAATATTATGCTTTTGATCGAGAGTTTTTTCCAGGAGGCAACAAGATTTGAGTGAATTAAAAATAAAATTATCCTGACTTAAAACCAAGGTCGAGTGTATTTTAGGGAGATTAATAAAAGAAATTTTACAACCACTACATATTTTACGCATTCCTACACGCATTTTTATTGCTGTTAAAAAGCTACGTAGCGTTTAATCAGATAAAAAATCATTTGATTGGTTAGAATTTGAAACAATCACCAAGCTGATTGGTCGTATACTAATGGAGTGTATTAATCATATAAAATACATATGCCTGATTGTTATTATTTGCACCATAAAAATTAGTTAGCTAGCTACGGAAATTACACATAAGTATATAAGAATCTGCTTCTTTGTTTTTTAGCAGAATGAACAAATATGCTGATTGATTTAACGACTTTATATAGGTTATGAGTAGATACGTTCGTTGAAATTTTTAAATTTTGCACTGCGCTGTGTTCTACACGATTTAGCTCGCAATATTGTGGTAGTGAAATTAATACTGTGACTTACAAAAAGAATTGTTTAGTGAGTAGAGCACAAAACGGAAAAATTTCACAAGAAACCGTAATATGGAAATTTTAAAATTAAAAATTCATAATAAATGATAATTTTCTTCCACGGGGATCGTAGTCCCCATTACACTGACTGGTCGCGTTATCTGCACGTTGTATGGCAATACTTAAATTTGTCGTAAGTAAGTGGTAGCTCGGGGTTCCCCAGTAATATTGGTAATGCGTTTTCCCAGGTATTCCACAAAATTTTCGAGCTTCTCTACACCAAGGTCCCAATGTCTTTACTGCGAAAGGTATAAAAATATGGTTCTGTTCTATAATTGAACTGTATTTCCTTATTTTTATACTTGCCGCAGATTCAGCTACTGCACCACTCGTTTTACTCGAAAATGAATCCAAAATATTTCAGTGGCAAGTCATAAAGCTAGGAAAAACTGTCCCAGACTACTTGGGTGTGCCGCCAACTCTTAAGATTTTGACTCTGGGAGATATGTCAGCAAAACACAAAATAGCAAAATTGTACACGAAAAAACAAACCGGTGGTAATATAAAAAAAAGGACCCCCCACAATGTTGGAGATTGGGCGCCAGCTCTGCAATTTGTGGCGCTACGTTTAAAGAACACAGCGCAGCGCTTGCTTTTGGTATTCATCGAACACAATGGTGGTGTTAGCGTTAATATACCACCCCCAAAAGTTAAAGGCTTTTTGTAAAATCTATAATTGCGCTAGGTTAACTTGAGCGCTAGGTCTACAGAACAGAAAACATCAAATTTTTACCCGAAAAGACAAAATGGTGGTGCCCCCTCCCCCACACTATTGGAGGGTGATGGCAGCTCTAAAATTTGTGGCGCTAGCTGGCGCTAGGTCAGCAGAACACAAAACGTCAAAATTTTACCCGAAAAAACAAAATGGTGGTGCTAGGAAAAAATTGCCCCCCCGCACTATTGGGGGGTGGCGCTAGCTCTAAAATTTGTGGCGCTAGCTGGCGCTAGGTCTGACGAACACAGCGCTTGCTTTTGGAAATGATCGGACGCAATGGTGGTGCTAGCGTTAACATAGCACCCCCCGAAAGTCAAGGGCTTTTCTGCAAAATCTATAATGGCGCTAGCTGAACTCAAAGTGGCGCTAGCCATAGAGATTCTAACGCAATCTGTGTTTAGTCAGGAATTTGAAATGGTATGGTGCTAAGTTAACGGACCCGGATTTTTCTTAAATTCCGTCATCCTCACAGCACATAACTTCCTGGTGATACACATTATTATCCTACGATGCTTTTAAATAAATTAGCACATGTAGACGATCATAATAGGTTGTCACTTTCAGGAGCCACAACGTATCGAGCCATGGCAAGGGGTTTGGCAAGCCAATTTCTCAACCGTCTGCGCCCAACTGGACCACTTAATTGGTGGAAGTATTAACGGTAACATGTAAAAATTAACTAGCAATCAATAATAACGTTGAAATTAGGGCAGGAGGACTGTCTCTACCTCAACATCTACGCACCACAAACCGACAGTAATGACCCTTTGGACGTCATCATCGACATACACGGTGGAGGTTTCAATTTTGGATCGTCAACCAGTTACTCCGGTCCTCATTACCTGATGGACAGGGATGTCGTGTTCGTCACGGTCAATTACCGCCTCGGAATATTCGGTAATATCAGGCCGAATTAATACCTCAACTTGTGTTAGGTTTTTTAAGCACCGAAGACGAGGTTGTCCCCGGAAATAATGGCATGAAGGATCAGGTTATGGCGATTCAGTGGGTTAACGACAATATTGGTTACTTCGGAGGAAATCCCAATTCTATAACGCTGACGGGTCTATCGGCGGGCGGAGCAAGTGTGCATCTCCATTTCCTGTCGCCACTTTCCAAGGGGTTGTTTAAGGGGGGTATTTCTTTAAGCGGAAATGCTCTCTGCCCGTGGGTTTTCCAAGACCATCCGCTGCAGCGAGCGCGGGAGGTGGGTTCTTTGGTTGGGTGCGCGCAAGAGTCTACAGCAAGTCTAGTCAGTTGTCTGAAACAGCGATCTGTCACACAAGTGCTTGAAGGCGTACGTCCGCAGCATGCGTGGATGTACAATCCCTTTTCACCTTTCGGGATCGTTGCTGAAAGGCACGGGAGACGACCCTTTCTGCCAGACCACCCATATGAATTACTTCGAAGTGGCAAAGTGCAGGATTTACCTTGGATAACTTCCCTCGTAAAACACGAGGGGCTCTACCCTGTCGCTGGTAAGCTACAAATTGTCTGCACGTTAAATCATAATGTGATTATAGATTTCATGAACGATGACATTCTGATGGAACTGGAAAGAAGGTGGAATGAACTGATGCCTTATATCATGCATTACTCCCAGACGGTACCGATAAAGTCGCAGGCCGACGTTTCCCAGAAGATAAAGGATTTTTATTTTCATGGTCAACCCCTGTCAATGGGCTCATTTGAAAACCTCATCGAAATAGGAAGCGACCGACTATTTGCAGTCGACGCTGAAAAATCCCTACGACTTCAGGCTTCCTCAAATTTATCTCCGACCTATTATTACTACTTCACTTATGAAAGCGAGAAGGTTTTCAGTTTCGCTGAATACTTCCTCAAAAGTGATAAGCGGATTGGTAAGGTCTTAAACTCAACCTGAATATCGTCTATTTGATACTAATGCTGCAGGTATTTGCCACGGAGACGACCTGTCGTTCATATTTTACAACTACCACGGTCTATCGAAATACACATCGAAAGACGAGAAGATGAAAAATATACTTTTGGATATTTGGACCAGCTTTGCCAAAACTGGGTATTAGTCCACCACTTCGGCGCGCGTTTATTCTTATTTATTCATCTATTCGCAGGGTGCCGAAGGTTCAAGGGGTTGAATGGAAACCTGTGTCAAGGAATGCAAAGTCTGACATAGTGTACTTGGATATCAGATCTCCAGACGAAATTCAGGTTAGAGAGGTTTCTGAAATGGGCCATCGGTCATTTTGGGATTCGCTTGGGATACAAGAAAATGAAAATCTATTTAAAAGCAAAAAAGAAGAACTGTAAATAGAAAATGATTATCTTGTTAAGGGGTAGTTTTTGCTGGAACTATATGTATTCTGTAATTTATGTCATTTCATAAAAGAAAATAAGGAAGAGGTTTTACTTTGATTAGAAGTCTATTATAATCATGTGCCCCTTTATTTAGGTACATTAAGTACACATTTACTAAAATGCAGGACGAATGATTCGGCGAAGCTGATTTATCAACTACCAACCACGTGATGAGTATCACTCTTTCCTCTATACAGTATTGTATGCTGCCGACAGATCGATAAATGTAGCTGAACTATCTATGGAACTTGCAAAAATAATAATAGATAGCTGCTGCCAGGTCTCGACCATCGACATATAGAGATGGATTACGCGTGCCAATGCTAAGCGCGGGTACTGCAGGTGAGTGAGAGAGGAAACTAAGAGGCAAGCGCTCTATCGTGCTTGTGATGGTGCAATGTCGATTTTAGGCGACCAACATAAGCACGCGAGAGAGAAAGAGAGCGCTTGCCTCTTAGTTTTTCCCTAAGGTTCGTCATTTAGTCGTCGCTTAATACGGCACACGCACTTGTTGGTTACAGCCGAGCGTTGCAGCGGTAACCTTTTGTGCCATGTTATATTCTTCGTCAAGCAGTCCATTTTGGCTCTTGGTAGATTTTGCAACGGGAGCCCGGTGAAGGATTTTTATTTAATTCGAAATTTGCTTAATTTTTTCAGATTTTAAATCGATTTTGAGTGGTATGTTCTGCTGGCGTTTACCCGTGTTGGGGATGGAAAAAATATCCAATTGTGACAATTTTAGACAATACACAATATACCGGGTGACCCAACAAGACTGTTCCTCGGCCATATCTCGGGAACCGTTCGTTGTACGACTTAGGGGTAAAAAAAATTATTGGGTAAATCAGTCATGAAGAATCCCTGGAAAATATTTTCAAGTTCAAAAAATGACCACCAGATGGCGTAACTGCCATCTTAAATTTTAAAATTGCATTTTCTTTAAATTTCACATAATAAACTAAACATTTTTTTTCACATTTTTAAAGAGAACTAGTTTATCTATCATTTTCGTAAAAAAAACTCAGTTATTTTAAAAACAAAGATGGCGTGGGGCGTTCAATTGTTTTTGCAATAATCTGCTTTAATATAGTTAATTTAGTTGAATCCTTCTCCGCCAGGGGGGCTAGTTTTGACACTAAGACCCAAAATCCTAAAAAATGAAAGGGATTGATATGACTTTTTCTTTATGAAAAAGTAACATCCAAAGAGGCCAGGGAAAACCGTTTTTCAAAATCTCGTTCCTAACCTCAAATATTGGGAAAATGAAATTAATTAATTAATTAATAAAAATGCTTAAATTGTATCTTATTTGACGTATTTCCGGTATTTGTCGCTGGTGCGAAAGATGGTTTGGAAAAGGACCCTACACTTTTAGGTAGGCCTTGAAAAATTAAACAAATGAAACACGATGCATTATAAATTTATAAAATAATAACAGCCGTAATTTTTAAATTATTCTGCTGTGTTTACATTCAGAAAGTGCAGTTTTTTGAATTTGTAATCTTTTCTGAAATGCCGATTTCTAACCAAGAAGCATTTAATATGTTGGCGGCGATGGTTCGTTGGTCGATTCGGATAACGCAAATAGAAGATGTGGGCAGCGATGGTCGCATTTTGAAAATAATCAAAATATATCGCCAGCATATTAGGTAAATGCTTCTTGGTTAGAAATCGGCATTTCAGAAAAGATTACAAATTTACAAGTTAAGCATTATTATTAATTAATTAATTAATTAATCTCATTTTCCCAATATTTGAGGTTAGGAACGAGATTTTGAAAAACGGTTTTCACTGCCCTCTTTGTTATTTGGCTACTTTTTCATAAAGAAAAAGTCATATCATTCCATTTGATTTTTTGATTTTTTGATTTTTTAGGATTTTGGGTCGTAGTGTCAAAACTAGCCCCCTGGCGGAGAAGAATTCAACTAAATTAACTATATTTTGGTTGATTCTCATTGCCCAAGGAATGCTCTTTTCAACCATACCAAATTTGTTAAAATCGGTCAAATGGTTAAGAAATTAAAGCAGATTATTGCAAAAACAATTGAAAGCCCCACACCATATTGTTTTTAAAATAACTGAGTTTTTGTTTTTACGAAAATGATAGATAAACTGGTTCTCTTTAAAAATATGAAAAAATTTTTTTAGTTTATTACGCGAAATTTAAAGAAAATGCAATTTTAAAATTTAAGGTGGCAGTTACGCCCTCTGTTGGTCATTTTTAGAACTTCAAAATGTTTTCCAGCGATTCTTCATGACCGATTTACCCAATAATTTTTTTACCCCTAAGTCATATGACGAACGGTTCTCGAGATATAGCCGAGGAACATTCTTATTAGGTCACCCGGTACATGGGAGTAGGCGAAGATTTTTAGTGTTTTGATAGTTGAAACTAGGTCAAACGGATGATTTCTCCCCGTTTAGAGTCTGGAATTAAATTTCTTTGAGTTGAGTGATTTTTTTAAGGTGACGTTTACATGGAAAAATTGGAAGTTTGTTTCCACAACAACTGCCTTCTGGGTACAACTTTTTGGTTGAAATAGCATTCATTCAAATATATAATGTTCCGGCATTTGCATGAAACAAAAATTGTTTAGCTAATTCCTGCACTTTCGCCCTTATTTAGGAAATACCTAAGTTGTTATAAAACACACATATTTCTTTCATTTTCATCACACACTGATAATAATTTGTTATCAAATTTCACCTCATATACAAGCCTTAGCAACCATCGGTCGTTAACAGAAGTTTATTTTTTTTACCTCGAAACAAAGTTATTGAGGAAATTGCAAGGCAACTTTTACACTTTTTGTAAACGCCACCTTAATTGGCTCACACAAGATAAATGAAGAGTGGTCTTCTTATCTAGCAGGATTTCCTAATTTTCCGATTATTTATATAGAGAAGTGGTCCTGGATTACCGTTCTGGCTGTGTACTTGCGTGTGAAGGCTGGCGACGCCAGGAAGTCGTGGGAAGTGAACTAGAATTACGTGACAATTGTGCAAAGGTCAAATCCGACGTTATCGAGCCTGGTACACAGTCTGTTTTTTGCAGAGTGTTTTTTTTTTGATTTCCACTCCACATGGAGCAGATTGACGTATGATAGAGGATCTACTTTGTTTTATTAACGGAAAGGTTGTGGGATATCGATGTAGAAAGCACAATTGGTCATAATAAAGAAGAGATTAAATCAGAAGTAAGAAACCTAAAAATGATTATTCAAAGTCAAAAGGTAAACGCGTAATTTTACCGCAAACGACCTTAAACTTGTAAATTACATCGGGAAAGCGTCAGCGAAGTGTCGAAAGCAAAACAACAAGAAAACTCTTCACTGAACTTATGCAGCTACTATAAAATCCCAAAAGCTTGACAAAAATTGTCGAGTACCTAACTAATACGGCGTGTACGTTCTTCTACAAGTATTAGTTGAATCTCGTTTTGTACAAAGAAGTACGTGAACCTCTGCACGACTTCGGACGGCGAACAAAGAACTACATACGAACTACGACGTACTATTGACTAACTTTTTCCCACGCCCCTCAAACCAGTCGAGAAGGAAGAAAGTGAAAGTAAATTTGTGGTGGTAAACAGCGCCACGGGAACTCCTAAATAACAAGACCAAGAATACACATAGGCCGATAGATAAGTCTTTTTGATTTCTCTGGAAAATCTTTGAAAAAATAATTAAAAATAGGCTCGAAGCTGCAAGTAGCAACCAGATATGAGAGAAAGAATATGATCTCCGAAAAGGAAGGTCAAGGGTAGACGCGATAAACACCCTGCACAACATAAAGGAGAAAGCGAACAGTAGAACCCGCGGGACAAGGAGGGTGTGTCTGATGGCATCACGCGTTTGTCAAGAATGTCTTCAATACCGTGCCGCACCAGGACCTCATAAGATCGATGGAAGAGGTGGAGTTACCACATACAACAAACCGGAAGGAGGAACCTGCAGATTCAGACCATAAGAAGGGGTCCCACAAGGGTACTATTATATTTACGAGTAAGGGATTATAGTACGGTAGCATTAGATGACGTACTCACTGGGATACCACCGGCCGAGATTATGGTGAACGCCATCAATGTTGGGAATTGGGGAAAGCGGCGTCAATGCATGGAATAGCAGATAATATAGGACACCGGAACATCATGGACCAGGACACCAGGCCTAATAATAATCAGACTATAGGGTGACGACATGGAGAGGCGGACTGTACCATGATGTTGTTCCTAACGCGGCATTGGGAGAATTAACAGTACCTCTATAAAATCAATTAAAGGGGCATAAACGAATGTATATTTATTAAGAATTAGACATAGGGGTTTACGTGTAGGTTGTTTTTCCCTATGTCTACTTTTAAATCATCTCTTCTGAAGGGCGCCTAATTTATGCATTCAAACTAACTTCTTAAAACAAATAATGATCTGGCTGTCATAATAATTAATTTGAATGGCGCCACAGAAAATAAATCTTTTAGGCTCCTTAAACTGTTTATGCTAATTGACAATATCAACTTTTTCTTTAGTTGAATACACGAACGAAAAAAAAATACGGAAGCCAAAGCAACAATATTCAAATTAATTAATATGAGAGCCAGATCTTTGTTTTAAGAAGTCATTTTGGTTGCATAGAATTAGGCACCCTTCAGAAGATATTTTGTCATTTAAAAGTAGACATAGGGAAATACAATCCCTACCTAGATGTGAATTTACCACTAGAACAACATAACCAGAAGAATACCCTTGGTGATGTCTGATTTGTGTTGATAATGTGAACGACAGAGGGAACTGGGAGAAGGGTTTTAGTGGGGGCAGGTCCCACACTCCCCCTGCATACACCTGATCTTCGGGGTGCGTTAGGCATTTCCCAATTCCCATTTACCTAGGGAAAAAGAAGGATCGTAATACTTAATTATGTAGTAGACACGAGATGCGCTCAATTTTGGAAATGAAATGCATTAAAGGCATAAGAGCCTATTCCATTCTCAATCGCCCCCGTATTATATGTACTTACTGATTGACTTTGGCTAAAGAAATTGATTTTTTTGACCTAGATTCGACGTAAACATTCGGTCGCGTCGTCGCACAAAATCTCACTGCGAATACTTTATCTGATAACCACTCCTTAGGCATTATTGCCTCAAATAATTACGGCAAAATGGTAAGAGAAAGATCATTAATACCATTACACTCTATTTTCCTCCCATAAAGTCCCTTGATGCTATGTGCCTGTATTTAAATAAAAAAGTCTTGGGAAATTCACTTGGAAAGATAAATTCCCCTAATGTTACATTTCAAAATTCAAATTTCAAGTTACGCGTTTCAGGCACAACTAGAGAATGACGAAGGGAAAATTACATGCAAAAACGTTCAGGATCGCCAGGAGTTCGTGGAAGTACTCAACAATTTCTGCTCAACCTCCGGAATACCGCCGTCGGACATCGACAACTTGAAAATAACTTGCAGCGATCTAAAGCCGCTGTCCGATGACTTCTTTCAAGAGTTCGCCCAGATCTCCGCGCTAACTTTAACATTCTGCAACCTCCAGACGTTTCCAAGCGATTGTCTACCCCCAACCCTCCAAGAGCTGCACCTACCGCACAACAGCATCGCCGAAATATTACCGGAGCATTTGGCGAAGCTTAATCTCAAAGTGTTAAATTTGGAAAACAACAAACTGGAGTGTTTGCCCGCCCAAGTGTTTGGTAACCAGAACGAGCTCGAGCAACTCATGCTTGCAGATAACACAATTAGAAAGCTGGATCCCTGCGCTTTTGCCGGGTTAGACTCGTTGCTGGGGTTGGATTTGCAGGAGAATAAGATAAGGGAGCTGCACTCTGAGGTGTTCGCTCCTATTCCCGCGCTGGTAAATCTAAGCCTTAAGGCGAATAAAATAAAACAACTCCCCAATAGGGTGTTCGCTGAGCTAGCCAACTTGGAGAAGCTCGATTTGGGGAGTAACCAACTAGAGGCAATCGGTGAAGATGACTTCAAAAATCATCAATTGGTAGAACTGCACTTGGAGAGCAACGACTTGCATGCGATTCACGAGGGTGCTTTCGTCGAGTTGAAGACGCTCCAAAAGCTGTATTTGAGTGGCAACAACTTGGTCGAGTTAGAGCATGTGTTCGACGCAGTGCAGACACTGGAAGTGCTCGACTTGGATTGCAACAAGCTGAAGAAGCTGCCCAACTTGAAATGTTTGGTCAACCTGCAGCAGTTGTCATTGAACGAAAACCTTGTGGAGGAGCTGCGGGACGACGATTTCGAAGGACTGGGTAACTTAATTCTTCTAGGGCTTAAGGTGAACAAGCTGAGACATCTAATCGCGCCATTTTTCCATCACCTTCCGTTACTGAGAGTGTTGGATTTGGCAAGCAACAACATCAGCGACTTGGCGACCGACACTTTCGACGGTCTAGGAGAACTTCGCGCTCTCGATTTGTCGAAGAACAACATACGTGTATTAGCAGAGGGTTGTTTTAAAGGATTGGAGTCGTTGACAATGTTGAATTTAGGATCAAATCGCATAACGAAAATTACAAAGGAGAGTTTCCATGACATTCCAGGCTTACTGTCCTTGTTGCTTAACGATAATAAAATTCGTAAGATGGATAAAGCCGCTTTGGAGAACTTCGATAAGTTGAAACTCTTGAATTTGAGCAACAATGATCTTAAGTTCAAAATCGAAGGGCACTTTGATAACCTTAAGAATTTGCGCTGCCTTTATTTGAGGGGTAATTATATGCGACACATCGAGAGAATAAGCGTGGAAGAGTTGCCCAACTTGAAGTTTTTGGATGTCTCCGATTGTAGCATAAACGAAGTCGGCTCAGAAGTCTTCGATAATTTGCCAGGTTTGTGTTTCATCAAATTTTCATCTAATCACCTGGACGAAAAGGAGTTATTGGCTTTGAAAGACAAATACACTAATCTAACGTTCCTAGACGATACGCAATTGCCTTACGTGTTATAATCTCTAATGTGTTACCATAACCAACACTTGAGCTTTGAGCACTAAAAACGCTAGCAACATTATATATTACAATAAACAAATCAATAAACAAAATCTTATTTATTAAATCTTATTACTACATTCTAACAAGGTCTAGTCAATGACAATTTCGCCACCGACCTTCGTAAGGGCCTCTTTTAATTTTTCCGCCTCCTCTTTACTGATATCTGATTTTAAAACGGCAGGCGCACTCTCGACGAACTTCTTGGCTTGCACTAAGTTCATACCTTCGATTTGCGCTTTGACCTCCTTAATTAGGGGCACCTTCTGTTTTTCGTCGAACTTCATCAGCTTAACCGTATAGGAACTTTTCACTTTTTGCGCGACCTCCTCCTCCTCCTCTTCCGCAGGCGCCCCAGCGCCAGGCGCGAAACCGACGGGCATCATCGGAGCATCAGGAAGATTCAAACGTTTCTTTAAGCCACCGCTCAACTCGCTTACTTCGATTAGTGTCAGATTTGAAATGGCTGTTACGAGCTGCTCGATTTTCGGCGACAGTGGCTTGTCGACGTTTGACGGTGGAGGTATCGTTATGTTTTCGATCTTGGGCTGCGGTTCCGCATTTTGACTGAGGATCGAACTGAAAATAGAAAGTTGTGGAGGCAATTGTTGTGAGTTGCGCTAACCTTAGAGAGAGTTTCTTTGACCAATTCTTTCGAAGAGAAGGTCGCACCAAAACCCTTAAACTCTGCATGTTCTTTGGAAAATTGTGGAAAAGTATCACTACAAGAAGGAAAAAAACTTAGGTTATGATCAGAATAATGCTTGGATGTGGCGCTGCTGGCGTTACGCAGATGTAGACTACCAGTGGCGTAGCATTCGACGAGTTGAAATCGGTAATGTGCATTATTCGGCCACCCAGAAAACAACCACCCACAGTTTGACTTTACGATTCGATGAAGGATACATTAAGGTATATGAAACTCCTTTTGAACACTTTCTTGTATTTAGGCACCATTTTGGAAAATGTGTTTTGCACGTTTTCCGTAATTAGGGTCCGGTTAGTTTTGTAAGTGGTTTATATCGATTATAATCAGACGATAATCGATAATTGGGTTTCACTACATATGAGGTCGATGAAGGTCCACTATGTAAATTTATAGTTATCAATCGGATTCATTTCTTGTGGATATAGTTACTAGCTATCTCCACTTTAGAGGACCTGAGAAAGAAAATGACCGATAGACGTGCAAAAGATAGAGAGGCTCAAGTACCAAGTAAGCTTTGCAAAGGGCCTAAATAGCCCAGTCGGGCCTAAAAAGAAACCGAATAGCTTTTAAAAAGCGGTGGAAAACCTCCAAAATCTTTCAAACTTTTTATAAGCACTTCAAGAACTCCTTAAATGCTTTTCTGAGACTCATTAGCTACTTTCTACATTTTTAAACAGCCTTTGGCATACTTGCCACAACTAACTGTGTATATAAAACACTAAACAGGACTAGGAAACGTTCAAAATAGCATAGAAATTTCTGGTATGCGACTATGTGAGCGACGGTTTCTTTACTTCTTCTTTCGGTGCTCAAGTCTCGATAAATTTTCTGGGCTATATGGTGATATTTTTCAAGGAGTTTGGCGGACTTGTGTTTAATTCAAATACATGATTACCGTTATACCACAAAACAAAGAACACTCCTACAAAAGCCAGTAAAGCTTTATTAATGCTCTGAAAAGGGTCTAGAAGACTCGGGCAGTGATTTAAGAAGCTTTTGGAAAGGGACTAAACTGGTTTGGGAGGTAGTCAGGTAGAGTGCTTTAAAATAACCTTATAATCTTTGTAAAGCGACTAATATAAGGCACTGGAGCACTGAAAGCAACAGGGATGCGGGGAGAAGTTATAGAGACGTCGAAGGTGCGGAAAAGAGTATTGCAGTGGTATGGGAATGTGTTCGGATTATACCCTCGGTGGAAGAGGCAATCAAACTATGCGTACATAGCTTCATCGGATTGTTAAAAAAGCGGGTTTCATATTCACGCTTCTGTTGGTTTTGGTTGCATATAAATATAAAGAGAAAGAACCAATAAGATGCGTAACCGTAAAAGAGAGAGCGTGTGCCTCTTAGTTTTCCCTTCTCTTTCACCTGCAGTATCCGCGCTTAGCATAGGCACGCGCAATTAGGGTCTTTATGGATGGTAAGAGTCTGGAAAGACTTTTAAAGCACATGCAAAATTAAGAAACAACTGCTGCAAAAACAGATATTGCAGATTCAGAGACTAACCGAACGAATCTACCCTTCAAAAGTAAGGGTAGAGTAGAATTATAACTCCTTCAATTACGTTTGTAACAGGATGAAAAGAAATTATTAAATCAAGTTAGATTCGTCCCTTTAGCAAACAAAGCTGTTGATTGATCTTATGAATAGACTGTTTCTATTTGAACAGCCCCTGTATACTCTTTCCCTTATTTCATTTTCATTGAGTTTCAGTTTGTACAAGTTCAAGGTTAATTTGAGCGTAGAGAATTGCACACATAATGATTTCAACAACCTTGACTTGTTCTTCTTCACAAGTAGAGATGTTTCAAGTGCCCTACAGTTGACAACCACAAGAACATCTTGAAAGTAGAAGGTACGCCGCTGGCCTCTTTATTTGCATTTTTTTAACCAAAATGAATTCCATCCCTATGTAGGAGAGGTTCACCAGCTTTTTAATGTTTATAATGAAGAAGGGAGTTAATTTCTAAACCCCTTAAAGTGGTGGTCTGGTCATTTCAATGTGGGAGTGCCTAGAATTCATTAAAATTGTGCACAATGGAAAAAGTATTTAAACCTGTGCCAAGCCATTGTAGAGAAGGTAACTTGTTAAATGAAAGAAGAGTGCACATTTACTTCTTTTAGGTACAGCTTCAGTGATTTTATAGACAATAACTAGAAATAATGTCTTAGCAAATTGTAAACGATGGCATGGGTTGCTCTGACACTTTTATTTCTTGGCGTGACAGTCAGCTGTTCGACGTTGTGCTCACGAAAACAGAAGTCCTGCACTTATCAGGTCGGCCTTTTACCCAAAATAATTGAAGTGAATTGATCGTCGTCTTTTAGTTGTGGAAGAATAACAGCGAACCGCCCGAAATGTGCCAAGTTAGGTATTTTAAACGGAATGGGACCGAATGTGCAGCTTTAAGTTTCAATTATAACCTAAATTTAACGCATAATTTGGGCGATGTTCGAATTGATGCGTATACGAGCGAGGAGGCGAAACAGACGGCATTTAATCTTACTTTTACCAAAATTAAATGGAGCCGTACGTGTTTTGCTACATGCTTCTATGCTTATGGCATGTGTAGAGTAATATGGTAGATGCGATGTAATGCTACTCTTTTGTAAATCTGTTTTAAAACTAATTCTACTTTCTTCTTTCTGTATAAAGAATGTCTGATGTAGTTTAGTTCGAAGTTAGCTGTGTGTGACGTATCACTTAATGCCTTTTTACTTCTTGCTCACTTGCACTTACACTCCACCCAAAAGCTGGCTGAGGAGGCAGCCTAATCTCTAGGATTTCATTCGGAGTGGAAGTGATGGGCACTCACAAAGAATGTGATGAGCTGTCCCCTCCACAGAAAGATGTTTGAGCCAAGTGATATGTTGTAGCATTTTTTAAACATCCTGTATAAAATCTTATCATGATGTTCTCAGAACAGCATAGAGGTAATCTCTGATGACTTATGTCACTTGATCCACATTTTCAGTGAGAAATTGGAAAAATCTACTCTCCTTTCCAGGATGGGCAGTACATTAAACAAAATTGAGTCCCCCAATGATATTTTGATCTGCAAAAATGATAAATAAATATATCGCTCACTTCCATCTTGTACCTTGTGTGCCCTTGGTTGAGATAGAGACATGCGGTTTTCCGCGACCATGTGCCACTTTTTTGTGAAACTTAATACCGCAAACACAATCAATCTAGCTAGGTTTGTGTCTGAGATACAGGGTGAAAACGAAAAGTTTGATTTTTTTATGTTATCATATCTTACAATCCCTGTATAATTGAAAAAATATATAAAGTGCCTGTTTTAGATATGTGGAATCCAGTGGCGTAGTCAAAAATTGATTGAACCGCCGTTTCTGAGATTTGACCTAAAGTTGGTATTTTTAGATACAACACCCTGTATATCTTAACGTCTTTTTTTCATTCTTTTTCCTGATTACATGGATGTATAACAACCTATATTTTTTTAAATAGTAGGCCGTGGATTCGTGGATATTTTGTTTTGCTTGAAACCATGGTAACAAAGACAGCCGATACCAATCAATAAAAATGGCTGACGATCCTTTCAAAATGTATACCTATAAGTAATTAGGTAGGTATATAAAAAAATAATACGAAAATTAATTGTATTTCCATACACCCTGTATAATAAACAACAAATCGAACTGAAAAACGTGCAGTATGTTAAAGATTTTCAGGCTCAAGTCTAAATTCTACTGACACTCGTTCTCCACAAACACCAACTTGATCCAAAATTGCAAGTGGTGGTTAAATCGCCTTTACATAAGTATACATCATTAAATAGCACTTGATCATAAAATTATCGTCAATAAGTTATAATTAAATAAAGACACTAGTTCAATAAATAACGAACTTATCAACAACAAATGGTAGCAGGACGGATAGCGGCAATACTACTCCATAGAACAAATGTTCATAAATACCTTTATTGTTTATCCACCAGTAGTTCTATATACGTTCTGGTCACGGCTTTCAATTCAATAAAAGTGACTCACCAGCTGCGCTCTGCAGGGCTCGACTATAGAATCGCTGCTGAGACCGTTTGTTCGATGTGGAATTAAAATTTGCCTTCAGCTGCGTTCTGCACGGACTGGCTATAGAATCCTCGCTGAGTTATGCTGCCCGTGGAGATTTACCACTTTCTTGTGTTCTTTTTTGGGTATGCTGCGCGATGGATATGATTTTTCGTTCTTGGGGGCCTACATTTCACAACGCGTTCTGCGAATACGACTAGCGCAAGTTCGACAGCGCGGACGGTCGCTTAACGAATATTCCTTTTCCACTATTTGCAATTTTACACTTACACTTAGAGGTTCCCGGTTTCTATCTGCGGACCTCATTTACATTTTATCTTACAACAAGCAATTATATAAGTACCTACTCCGCGCTATTATAATTAGCTTTGACATTCGGTTACTATAGACGTATTCTACTCGCCTTGCGCGTATTTTAATTACACTGACCCGCTTCATCTACCTCATCCTGAATGTTCACACGTAACGCGGTATACATATTAATTTACTCTATTTATACCAGAAATAGAATTGTATTCTAACCGCGGTTGCTACCTTATTATTCTAATTCCCTTTTAGCTTCCTTACGGTTAAATAAAAAACTATCTTGGGTTTTGAATAAATGAAATAATTTCCTTTCAATGCTTAAACAAACATTCACACACACACAAGATTGTAGTTGTTTATCTGTAATGGTTATGCATTGTACCACTCTATCAAATTTTCTGAGTCTGTATACTGCATGTTGGTCACTTTTTTATTGCTTACAATTTTTGCAGTCGGTAGCTTATAGCTTTGGCACCTCAACCAAGAAAAATCTTGACCATTAATGTGCGCCCGCAGACTGCGCAATATCATCTTTCTTATTTATGGAGATGTTTTTTTTTTGGACTCTACCCAAAGATTCTTCTAGTCAATACAAGCATATCGCATATTGTAAAAATGAAATGTGCGCCGGCGCAAACTACGCAATGTCAACTTTCCCAATTATGGAGATATTTTTTTGAAATTGTAACAGAAGATTCTTCTAGTGAAGACAAGCATATTGTAAAAATCAGATGTGCGCATGGGCAAACTGCGCAATGTCACCTTTCTTATTTATGGAGATATATTTTTTTTAATTTATCCAATTATTGTTCTAGTAAAGGCAAAAATATCGTATATTTTAAACCGCAGGTGTGCGTACGCGGAGACTGCGCAATGTTAAGCTTATAGCAGACGGCTCTTGGGTTACGTTTCCAAGCGCGGAGTTCCCCTTATATGTACTCGCGGTGCAGTAACTTAGTACGAAAGTTTTTTATATGTCCGTACGCCATAACGGAAATGATATCTCGGCGCTAGTCCGTTTTATTACACAATAATTCGTTGTTGCAGCGCCGTAAAAGGATCTTCATGCAACCCACTTGCCAATATTAAGTGATCCGCTTGATAAAATTCACGTATACTTTCTCCCTTGACGGCTCGAGCGCGAATCTTTGTTCGAATTTATTCAAAAATCACCGAAAACTGTTACTTTGACCGTGATTACGACGTGAATGTATTTAAATAACATTACGTGGTACGTTTCCCGATCGTATCGGAGACCCGCAAAACGAATTATTTTTATTTTCTGTACCGATTCACGCACCGTTCGACTCTGTGATCTCGACTCTAATTCATTTTAAGTCTTCTCCAAAAACTAAACCACACTATCATTGCTAATATACTCCCCTCTTTTTTATATCACGTGTACCTAGTAATTAAGTCCGCCATGTTTTTAATTGTACCTAATTGGAATTCGTGAAAGCGCAAGAAAATAGGTGTCTCGTGAGCTTCGAGTGACCAAAAATGCTCTAATTAAGAAAACTAATTACGATATAAATGCCAAACCCATTAAGAAATAATGCTCTATTCAAATTAAAAACGCAGCCAAGATGAGCTTCATTTCCATCACGGTTGAAAAATTTATTCTTTGAATTTCCACCAAGAATATTATTTATTTGGACCCACTAATTAATTTTGATACTCCAAAATCTCTGGACTACCGAAGCTGCAATAGTGAATAAGCAGATATTAAGTACGTTCGTTATTTAATGGAAGGGACTGTTGCTGGATTCAATAATGCTTAAGGAGGGAGCAGTGTAGCGTACTTGTTTCACCATGACTTGCTGACGTCATTTACTTTTTTTATAACTCGAAAGTTACGCTCGTTTATGTATATTTATGTGAATGTCAGACTTTTGCGTTGTTGTATAAATGCGTGCTCTTAGAATTTAGTTGCCTGTCTTTGTCTTGCTTTAAAGGTATAATGGTAGTTTACTGTTTGAATGATGGTAACACAAATTAATTTCATTTAGGAATGGTCATGAAATTTTCTAAAATGGGATTCGAAAACGACATAAACAACTGCATCTCGTATAAAATATGGAAAAACGTCACTGTGCCGAAAAGTTCAGTTTTAGCCTACGAATGTCCATGGTCTAATTCTATCTATGAGGGCAACGACTTTTCGTTGGAGTACGAATTCGAGGCGCCTATTATTTCGTATCACAGACTAATTTTTAAGATACCCCGTTTTCGGAACTTTGGTAAGAGGCAATTTTCGACGAGTAGAGAGTAATGTTGGTTTTTTAAGGCGAGCAGGCAGACCTGCGTAACTTGGATATTTTTTCGTATTTAGATGTGACGGATTCGGACTATTTACATTTATATATACAGCTCGTTCCGAAACGTTACAACGTTACAAGTTATCTAATAGAAGTGATTAGAGAACGAAGCAATATTTCTACACGCCTAACTGTACAAATAATAAGTGCGAAAGACGCAATTAACGGCCAACTTGTTTTCCCCTATCCCACGTGGAACGAGTTCGGGTACTTTTATTTCAACGTCTCGCCGTTGAGTGAGATATGCGATGAGAACAAATGTTTAAAATCTTCTACTCCCAAGATATTTATGGGGCGAAGAAAAAGTTCATTAGTGATAGGAATTGTCGGGGCCAGTGTTATTATTTTTGCGTTATTTTATGCCATGTTCTTTATGAACAGGCAAAAAAATAATAAAGGTAAGTACAAAAGCTGCTCGGAACACGTCATTTATGTGGCAGCATAGAAGGGCCATACAAATTAGTACCTTTCACGTTGGACGCGTAAAACTTGTTTTTTTTTTGCAGATGATACTCCACCTCGCATACTATTAGTGTATAGTGTCTCTATAAATGCTCATTACAATGTAGTTCGCACCTTAGCTCGATTGCTCAATGACGTATTACACATAGAAGTATTCTTAGATGTATTTGACATTCCACAAACTAATCATCAGAATCCGGTGCTGTGGTATAACCAAGCATTTCGAGACGCCACCCACATCATCTACATTGCATCGCCTGAAATACCACCGTCGAAATCGTCACACTCTGATAATATCTATAGGGTTGATGGCGTAACTATGAAAGCAATAATTACAAAGATTGCCTGTTCCACTAATACTAAGCAGATCATAGTAATTACATTTCCCTATTCTATCAACGCTGTACCTTCAGAGTTGAACACAGTTCGACGATTTGATTTAGTCAAGGACATTGATAGCTTTGTCAATTCTCTCGTGATGCTTCCATACCAATCGTGGACGTTTCTGCACTTATATAGACCAAATAGGTTTAGGGGAGAGCCTCAGTATATGGAACTCTTGGAACACATTCAAGGTGCCCAAAAGGAGTTTGAGGTTTTGAACTTTTCTAACTCGACGAAAAGTTCAACGGCACAACTGGACGTTATTGCGCAAAACGATAGGGCCGAAGACGAGGAAAAGCTATTGACAGGTGAAAGTAATATTGACCACGTTAATCTATCTACAACTACAATATTAAAGGGCCAGTAAATATATATTAATTATCTACTACGGTTAGTTGTACTATGTTATAGTTCTTGAAAGTAGTTGTGGATAAGTCCTTTTTTAAGACTGTAATTAGATTTAGAATGAAGCAAACACGATATTTATCTACTTACCTGTAACTTAATTTTTTTATATTTTCGATACAATACAAAATACTGCTACAACTATCATGAAAGTAAGCTAGCTTTAACTTGACCATCCTGTATTTATTGTCAGTATTTAGTTTAGAAGATAGAAATGTAGATTAAATATACTGGGATCAATGAGTGGAAATAAAAGGTTGAAAAATGGTTGTCTGTTATATAAATAACAGTGCTTTTGTTGGAGGACAAGGGAGTAGGTATTCATTTAAAAAATAGTGAAACGAATCGTTTCAGTTAAACTTATTTGATCAACAACCTCCTATCAATATACTAGGCGATCAAAAATGAGTTGCTGTCGAGTCACCTTTGGAATTTGTGTTTACATGCAAGTGAAGAAAAAAATTTGGGGAACAAATAAAGGATCCTAAAAGCTATTTAAATTGTTTTAAACTTATATACTGACGTTTTTTTAGGAGGTGGTACTTCCCAAAATTGCAACCCCAGTCGAGTTTTACCCGGAATGTCTGAAGAGGTACTTACAAAGGGAAATGATAGATTTCACACAAGACGCATCCGTCGACTGGTCAAAAATCAAACGTGAATATCTTGAAAACGGAGTGTCGGAAGAGGGTGGGCACTTACAAATTATACATGTGTGATAGTAAAGTGTTCAGGTTGCCCCGTAGATGGACCCTATTTATTGTGGGCACAGCATTGTAGTAATCTTGGGGGTTCACCAAGCCGGCACTGGAATCGTGGCTACCTACCTTGTACTTAACAACTGTGGGGTAAAAAAAACTACGAGGAATAGAGTTGTTAAATAACGCTAAGTACGTGATGGAAACGGCAAAAAGCTTGGACTAGTACGAGTTAAGTTTATAAACGATCGTCATAGTACGATAAGCGGAAATTGATGACAGTAGATAGGTACTGAGGGGAGGAATATAAATGTAAGTGCAAGTCGGTGAAAAAAAGCAATCGTTCTTGTTAACATTGCCGAGTGTGTCGCTTGGCTAAATTAGCCACCAGGGTGATTTCCGAAGAACGAAGTTAATACCTAGAGTCGGATATCCATGCCACCGTTAAGGCACTGGTACCGCCGTATCGCCGAAGAAGTTTTGGCAGCACGTTCGCGAACGACACTTGAAGATCTCCACGGCGGAACATAACCTGCGGATTCTGTGACCGGTCCGTGCAGATTACATGCCAATTTCAATCCCAAAACGAATCATAACGAGAAGCCTCGCCCAGAACAAGTTAACCGGTCCCTACGTTCAAAATTCTGTCCAAGCATCTAGCTCTTGGTGCATATGCAATAAAGGCATTTATGAACATGTTTCTTTCGCGTTGTAGTTACCACTTTTCGTCATCGCCTTGCCTTGTAGTGCAATAATTGAAAACTATTAAAGAAAATTTAAATTCAAGCGCCATTCTTTGTCGTTGACCTTATTGTGATTTATGAAATAGCGTCGTAGCCATTTTAGTTCAACGATTTGTTATATGTATATACATACTGTAAATGCGATTTAATACCTACTTACATTTTACATTAAGTTGGTGTTTGGAGGCCAGACCAATAGGTCGTGTCGTGTCCTAGGTAAGTATTACTTGGCATGTAATGTCCTAAGTTGGCAGACTGGGATGCGTGGGTCCTGTACTTGTGACAGTCATACCGTTTCGCATATGGTTGGTTACATATGTGATAGGTCGGTCACCAGTTTTGCTAGATCATCCAAACTAACTGAAATTCGCATGGCACATGATCGTCAAGTATAACAACCCTGTCTAGTGATAAGCCCTACGTTGTGTTGTGAGACGAGTTGCTCGAGGATGTGTGCATCGCTTTAAGGATCGATCGACATAAATAAAACGCAAGAAATGGGGTGAGTGAAATTTAATTAAAAACGTTACTAACAACAAAAACAATTCAATTCAAACTAGAGTTGCCCCCATAACTACACCAGAATAGCTCTAGGGACTTGATCACAAAGAAGGAAAAAAGAGCTATTGAAAACCTTCACCTATACTTCCTCACGTCTTTTCCAGTTTGCGTTTAATAGTTTAACATTATATCTAATAGTTTTCAACCCCTACGATAACATCGGGAAATTTTATCTTATCCTTAATAATCGTCAGCGCCATCTTAGTACAGGTCGGGGCTCTTGGGCACACAATAATTTGGGGCCTCTTTAGAAAGTAAAAAAGTGAAGAAGAATTGCAATCGGACTGGTTTTTATAAATGAAAAGTGATCGCGGTCCGCGAGAAATAATCACATTTGGTACATATACAAAATAAGATGGAAAAATACTACTGCAAACAAATCCAAGGAATATTATTACGTTCCCATATACAACAAACAAGAACCCCCTGGCCCATCGTACCAGCCGATAACAATAATCGTAAATGAGTCTTACTCAGGGTCAGGGGTTAATGGGGCCGGCGAAATACCGGGAAGTTTCCCGGTGGGTCGGTAGGATCCATGAGCGTTTTGCGGTCGGCAGCATCACTCAAAAATGAAAACACAAAGCAGAGATACAGCCACGCTACGCCGCCACAAGAAATTTAATTAAATTAATATTTTAAGGTGACGGCGTAAATAAAAAATTATCAAAGTGCTCGTCTGAGATCGAAAAGGGACTTCAGCGCATCTTTGTGTGGCAGATCAGTATATTCTATTACACAGTTTCGACTCCACCATCAGTAAGGTCTTGTCGAGGGCAACCACATTCCCTTTGTCGGTATCCGCTTCCGACGTCCGGTTCACCAGCAATTCGCGTTTTATAGTTTCGACTGTACCATCAGTAAGATCTTGTCGGGGCGCGAGGGCTACATTCTTTTTGTTGGTATCCACTTACGACGTCTCGCTCACCAACAATTCGCATTTTGGTGAATTTCGGTAAAAACTCGCTACAAAATAATACTGAATTTGTTGGGCACTTCTCATAGCTCGAGCTTCTATTGGCGACATGAGAAAGAGAGACCGCAATTCGAACTTTTGGGCGCCCCAAAATCGACACCTCGAAGACGCGCGTCTTGCAAAAGGTGGTTAATTTCGCCCCTAGGAAAAAAAACAAAATTTCATCACGCAGGAGTTGTGAGCGTTTATAAGAGATCTTTTCAACGACACCACAATCGGAGAAAAACTAGAAGAAACTGAAAAATCACCAAGATAGTATAACGCGCTCGAAGATGGCGCCAAGATGTCGCCGACCCGACATCATGTAGCCCCGTCCCTAAAGCTGTTAATTACACGGCTATAGTAAGTACAATGTACACTCCTCGCCTTCCTACAATCGTTTTCCTTTTCTTCAGCCAGCCAGTCGGTCAAAGTAAGGTTTAAGATTATCTGTTACAAAAAAATTGCAAAAATTCGCTAAAAATGAAAACTAAGTATATACAAATGAGGAATAGAAGATATGATTGCTATCTTGAGACGCTTAAATCAAGTCATTGATTCTATTAAAGGTAGATCTCTTGGATCTATTGGAAAAACCAGGGGAAAAACTTGGGAAAAAACATTACCTACCATTTAAGATTTGATGATCTTGTCACACCTGGACGATTACGAGAAGAAATTTTAAATGTTGCAAACAACTGGGATTTCTTAAAAATTCACCGCAGTGCTTCCGAGCGATGAAAAAGAGGATGTAGATCATTTCTCTAAAGAAAACATTCTAGAATACTCGGAAGCGTTCGAGAATGTGGAACGTTTCTATATAAGCAAATCGAATTGTGTTTCAGTCAGTTCCAATTTCAACGCCAAAGTAATGAATAGTTCACGTTGTTATAAATTGTGCATATGCGAGTGATAAATAATATAATTACTGTTATAAAGTAGTCCATTTCAAGACCGTTATAAATTTATTGTTAATTAATTGTGAATAAGTAAATCACGTAATTACGTTTCACTATCCTGCACTTGCTAATGCCTATGAGTGCTTGTTTACTTATTCTTTTCCAATTCTGAAATGTATAAAAAAATTCTGAAAAAAGCTTTGAGTATTCCAAATTTGATTATTAATTATATACTATTATATTTTGTTTCAGCGTTACGTGATTTTTTTTTAATTATTGAAAATTGTTTCATGAAAATCTGTTTTATTTCGTCGGGAAGGTGTTTTAACCAACCCTCCCCTCTCCTCCCTCACCCTGAGTGAGCCGATAGGTATGTAGGTTTCTCATCCACCCCTGCTTAGGGTAGATATAAAATGTCTGTCACAATGACTTAGGTTTCCAGGTAAGGTAATTTTTTTATACCTTTGTAGGTATGAAGGTACTCATTTGTTGCATAGGTAAAATGGTAGAAGTCACAACACTGGACTAGTTTGTCCCTCGCACATATCATCATGATTCTCGATTCAGATTCCGCATTAAAACGTGGGATTACGCTTCTAAAGACTAAAGGAAGCATAAAAGGACGTCACTGATACGCCAAGGTCACCTAAAGTAGAACTATTGATAATTCTCTGCAAATTAGGGAAATGCAAAAAATGGCATTCTACATGGAACAACTCACACAGCCAAGTGTGTAAAATGGCACCAGTAGCTCGTAATTATCTGCTCCCTATGGTGTCCAAACTGGAAGGTCAGTAAACAGATATAACATGGCAGTTAAAAATATCTTTAGTTTAATTTCCTTTGCCATAATCAGTGTGGGGAAGAAAAAATGAATCATACAAGACATAAAAATACTAAACAAACAATAACACATTTATTTACACAATGTATTTAAATAAATAATTCAGCGATAACATATTTAAGTACCAAAACTCATTTTCTTAGACTTTTAAACGTATGCACAAAAAATTAAAGTTTTTTGGCTGTTCCCACAAACCACAGCAAACTTTTAGAATAATTAAGTAAACTAGTCAGTCTATTTCATCTTTCTTCTTCCGAAGTTTTCCTTCTTTCTGTATCGTTTTGGATACCGTATCCACGCACTCGGCCAAAGACTGTGAACCGCCGGATTCGCTGTCAACAGTGTTTCCGGCCAACTTGCCGAGTGTCATAATGTACGAGCAGGCAATTCGAAGCACGGACAGTTTTGACAACTTCTGGTTGTGCGAGTAGGCCGGTACCGCTTTTCTTAACGTCTCGAATGCCGCGCTTATGGTGTGAACGCGCGTCCGTTCTCTCGCGTTCGCTTCAATGCGCCTCTCTCTGGTCATGTTCTTGTAATTCCTCTGCTCCTTGCGTCCGTAGGCGGTATGGTCCTCGTCGCGATGGGACTGTAAATTGGGAAAGGCCTCCGCCGAATTGGCCAGGTATTGTTCGGTTTCCGTGGCGTTTAGAGAGGAAATTCGCGGGTGCAGAGGCACTCGCAGTGTTAGGGGATCGCAAGGTGCGGGAATTTCGCATTCTGTTTTAATACTTGAATACTCAGGCTTGGTTTTTCTACTTCGGGCACTTGAGTTCGTCGCCTTTTTGACAAGCGATAAAGGCACCAAAGCCGGTTGAGCGTTTTTTGGTGAAGCTGACGAGCATGGACGGATTAGGAGTTTATCATCAGAATCGGGCGGTCGCGGCACCACAAAGTTCGAGTCGGGGGTTGCTAGCTTAATATCAGTCGTAATACTAGAAGGAACTCTAAGATCTTTGGATAAGTTTTGTTTTGGAGCAGACGATGTCGTGGAGTTTTCCGCATTCCACGGCCTGAACGGTTCATTTCCGGACGCAAATTCGTTTTTGGCTTGAAGACACATTCGCTTCTTCAGCGGTGCCGTGTAAGCGTCCTGCACCTTCCTCGGTTCCGCGCACTTTCGCTTATTTCTCAGGCAAATCGGCGATACCTTTACTTCGACACTGTCCTCGCTGCTATCCGTCGGAGAGTGCACCTCCACCTCGAGGTATTCGTCCTCCTCACCGCCAGAGTACAACTCAAAGTCGCGCCCTTTCGCGGTCATCACGAAATCTGGAAATAAACAAATAGCTTTATCAGTGTTGAAAATAACATAAACTGTGTTTTCGTTACGTTTATTGGGTCAAAACTTGAAGGAAATTACGTATCTTGTGTTGCAAGCCGAAAACATTTCTGACACTATGACCTGAGGAGATGAAACTTCTTACATTTCGCGCGATCTATGAACTTCTTTCATTTAGAGCGATTTTATTTCTTCCCCTTATCATCTTACACAAACATTCATTGGCCAACAACAATTTAATCTTTCGATGCCCATAATTTAAACTGCGTAAATCGCGCGGCGATTATTTTTTCTGCAGAGGAAAATCGCTGTCGAAACAAATGGCGTCAATTGGTTTCTTGGGAAATTGCAAAATACTGCAAAAAACGAGGTGGATCTCTACGACCTTCTGAAAGTCAAGAATTTTACTCTTGGAAAGATGGAGTAGAAACGAAAGCTTACTCCTTATTCAAAACACTTGAACCAAGCGGAAAAGACTTCGTGTACAATTCAAAGCAATTGACCCGAACCACCCTTCAAAAGTTGCCGTTGATTATAGGAATTTTCCGTACATTTTAAGATGAATCTGCTACAAACGATAGATTTATATTTTCAACTAGCGATACGGTTGCAAGCTTTTTTTTTGCTTTTTTTCATCCCTTATTTTTGTTACAGTTTGAATGAAGTAGTAAGAATTTTTCTTCTTATTTGAAGGTCGTACATTCGTCACATGACTGATCACTTGCTCTGGATGTGCAACCATTGAATTTATAAGTTATAAATTCAATGGTGCAACCAAGGGGAAAATCTCGGTGAAATTTTTGAGCAACGGATGTCCTCGAATTTCCACGAGGACAAAATCACCAGAAATAAACTTGCATAGCAATAGATTACCTCGGAAACTCATGGACATTTTCGCACACCCCTTAGAATCTGAGACTCGAGAGATATCTTTTGATTGGAAAGCTGATCCATTAGAAGACCTGGTGGAGAGAAAACAATTGTGTCTTGGTCGGGTATCCGGAATATTTTTAACGCGGATAACTTGAGTTTATACATGAGATTGGATGTAAGCCCTGGTTTTTTCATTTTCACGATGATCTCATTTTTTTTTAATTTTTAATCTTGTCAAACAATGAAAATTCCATAAATATGCAAAACATATTTAAGAAAAATAGTGAAGACACAATTTAAACAAAAACGAATCCACCCTCAAACCCACCTCAAACCCTAACAACGATCATAAAACATAATGAAAATCGTCAAAATTGTTACATCCTACAGGTAACTACTAATCTATAAATATGCAAAAATATGCAAACCATAGTGATAGACACTATTGCATTTTATTTAAATCGGGTGTCTCAGGTCTTCCTAAGACTAAGTTAATATTATGTTAGCGAGGTACAGTCAGAAACATAAATATTGCAAGTAAGTAATATTAATTAGATTTTGCCCATCTAAAAAACGTGATTGGTACGCACGCCACTGAAAAGGGTGGTAGTAAATGCCTTATCTTGTCGAATATCTGAACGGTCAACGAGGGCGTAGTGGTTGCGTGGTTAAAAGTTTGATTGTTGTAAGGAGAGCACGCATTAATTTTAAAAATTTTAGTTCGCGATTCGCAACTTGTAACTACCCCGCGAAAAGGTTTCACGATGCAAATACAAGCCATTGAATTTATAATAAATATTCGATTCACACTTACTTCCCTCCCTCGTTCCCTCTTAAACCCACCATTTCAATTGAGCACAAAGTAGATAATAAAATAAATTCATTTATTTCAAAACTTTCATGCCCGAACCTGAATTCGAATCTGGGATCACCTTCGTGATTAGGGAAAAATTGGTCGAATTAAACTAACGTCAACGTTTAACCCCCCCTCCCCTTCACCGGCCTGAAAAAACGGATTTAATCGTCTAAAAAATTGAACACCGTCTGTGTGGCTCAGTGGTAGAACGTTGGGCTACATAGCCGGGAGGTCGGGTTTTCGAACCTGGATTGAGGTGAATTTTTCATCTGTGGCAGAGAAGGGAATTTCCTTAGATCAGTTTCGAGCATTCTGCCGGCTACTCCGAATAAGGCTTTCCTGCAGTTTTCCTAATTCGAGCTTAAGCTTCTTTAATGATTGTCTTTTAAAAGCAGTATACGGGGTCAGATTAAGTCATCGGATCTAACCTCATGCTCAAAAAACATAAAAGTGATTCAAAACAATTCTAAACGATTACAAAGATTAAAAAAATTAAATAAGGGTCAACTGATTGAGAAAAATATACAACAATTTTAAGCGGAATATTTTGGGTTTTGTTAACTTTTTTTTAAATTTAAATATTTTTGAATCAACGTTGAATTTTTTCTGTGTTATATTTTTTTGAGCAGAGAATTTAATATGCTATATTTTTAGATTAAAATATACAGGGTGTTCCATTTAACAAAGGTCCAATAGATTTTTTACCTGACAATTTTCTGATTTTCCTCCGTATCTCTTAAACGAGTGAATGATTTCAAATTTTTAATTTGCCATTTTATTCTGACGCGCATAACACCTCCTTTACTTTTTTTGACAGCACTAATAATTACGGAGATACTCTATAAAAGTGGTGTCGTCGAAAATGGGACACCCCCCGGGGACACCCTGTACACCGTTATTTGTAACCCTGTATTAGCACCTTTCCATTTTAATTATTGTTGAATAATATGCCGTTTTCAAAATTAGTGTCATCAGGTAAAAAAAGTTAATGGATCTAACCTCAGTTTTTTAGTGTAACACCCTGTACTTAAATTTTATTCTAAAAAATAGCATGTTAAATTCTCTTCACAAAAATATAACACTACATAAATTCATAATGGTTCGAAAGATTCAAGATTTTTCAACAAAAAAATTATATCTTTTAACTTTCTCTATTTCTTTAAATTTGTTTAATTCTTTTTTAATCATTTGAGTCTTTTTTGAATTCGCTTCTTTGAGTACGTTTGAGTATCATCCCTAGCGTGCTACATTTTTGAAAATAGGACTCGAAATAGGATTTCATCTGCTATCTTTTTAGATTAAAATATACAAGGAGTTCCATTTAAAAAAATGAGGTAACCGGTAACTTTTTTAGCTGGCCTCGTATACTTATTTTTAACGACAGATTATTTCGCAATCATTATACAGAAAATTTTGTAATATTTTTCCGTATCTCTTTTAACTAAGAAATTTTTTAAAATTAAGAATTTTTTGATTTGCCCTCGTATCTCTTAAGCAAGCGAATATTTTCAAATTTGTATCTACTACCTACTCAAATGAATGCAGTTTGCTTTGTATAGTGTTTCAATAGTTTGCCTCTCCGGATGTGATTTGGGAAGGTCCACTCCCTATTAGATTTAGACCAGTGGAAGTTCTCTAATGACTTTTTTAAGAAATTCACACGTAATAATTCGTCGTCTAAAATTTTATAAATTTTTCCCCCGCCGCTACCATTCACTGTGAAAAATTATTATCGAAAATATCAAATAATAATACTCTCTTTGAGAATCAACGTATGCCCCTCCCCCCCAACCTAGATCGGGGCGGTTGAATACCTTACACCGAGCTTTACACTGTGAATACTTCATTTTTTCGGTGGGAAGTTTATCTTCTACAACATTTTTCGATCCATTTCTGTTTGGCCTGCAGTGTAAACTAAATGTACGCGATCGTGATTCTCGTAAGCAAACAGACTCCGGACCACCGGAAGTGAACTTGCAGTCTTTTACGTATTGACCATAACCTAGATTCAGATCGATGCTTATAATAAAGGAGTTCATACCTCTCTTACTTCGCCTCGTGGGACAGACTTAAAAAACACTCTATTGCTCTATTGGTTTCTATTACTAAACTATCACTCGTAGCACAAGGAGGGATCGGCCGACACAATATTTTTGGCCGATACCAATAAAATATCAGCGTATCGGCAGGGGGGAAACCACTGTGGGTGTGGAATTCTGGTGTACAACCTCTTGGAATTTCCTATATCACTCTTTTGTAATTCATGAAATTAGTTTGGAATTCATGAAATTTTAGAATTCATGGAATTATTTTGCAATTCATGGAATTATCTTTCAATTCATGGAATTATTTTGCAATTCATGGAATTCTTATAGAATTTATAAAATTATTTTGGGATTCATTTGGAATTCTAAGTATTTTTAGCGCATTTTCCAACTCAAGTTGGAACATATGCACCTAATGGGAGCTGAATGATTTCCGAGGTAAGAAAGCGAAAATTTGGCACTACTTTTGCAATATCTCTATTCCTTCTGATAGTGCTCATCCGTTTTAAAATTATGTTTTCTATAATTAGTTGGAGAAAAAGGCGCTAAGCGTCGAGTTTTCAACGAGACGGTTATAACGGGCGATCAAGAATGAGTGACTGTCGAGTCGCCTTTGAAAGTTCAAGTTAAGTAGGATTTCCCATGTAAACAAAAATTCCAAAAGTGACTAGACGGTCACTCATTTTTGATCGCTATGTACTTTCTCCCAATCCTACGATCGCTCGATGGCTTCATGTCCATCGATTTAAATTAGAACGGATGGACCAATTACGATGAAATTTTGCAGGTAGGTTCTTTATCAAATGTGTAGATTGGCGTTCGTAAATTGGCAATGTAGGCCAAAAAATAAAGAAGGCCCTTTTGACATCTCCGTTAGTTATCAACCGAATTGCATGAAATTTTGTATGTAAGCACCTTCGATAAAAGTAAAACTAATGCCGAATCAAAAAATTTGTTGTGCGCATGCGCAATCCGTTTTTCTTTAATTTGTTAAAATATTTTAATTAATGTATGTAGACAACTCAAAAACTCGACGCTAAGCAAGATACCGCTAACGTGACGTTCGGTTCTGAAGATATCTGTATGAAAGAGGTCTGTAATGAGAGAGACCGGCTTCCAAACTTATCTTGTTGCCTGAACTCCAGCCTAAACTTATTTTTTGAAACTGTGTCAACAAGATACGGTCATTAAGTCTTTTTTTCATCAGCACAATTTGGAAAAAACGACATACATTTCATTTTCCTCCAAATTGGCTCGAACGATTTCTGCGAGAAACCATTGGCGCCATTAGGAATATACGGGAATTACCGTTTATGATCGTTTTTGTCTAAGCTGTGTCTCTCAGTAGTCAGTTTTGCATATTTTTCCATATTTATTGTTGAAGAGTACGTAAACTTCACATTAAATATGCAAATCTATATTGTTGGAATGCTATTTGCTAACTTCCCGCGAGTGTCACAAGATCATGTAGTCGGAAGAGTTTGTCATAGCCATTTCGAAATTTGCCCAAATCTGGATTCAAAAATTGAAGATAAAACTAGCGTCTCCCTAGATGCGGAAGAGCATTGGGTTATGGACCATTTCGGAAGCACTGGGGGATGATCAGAATCGTAAAGTAAAGATCATTTCGACTTCTTCGCCAATTAAGTAATTACAAATTAAACTCGATTGGGCATTGAAACGTTTTTAATGGTGCGAACACTTCAAGGAATACAATGCAAGTGTTGCATAAAGTAAAAGACATTGAAAGTGCACATACCTAGACTTCCATTTCAAAACAATTAAAACTAAAAACCTTGAGGACATGAGAAAAATGCGTAAACAATTAACAAAAGGAGGAGAAATTTTGACTTTTTTTTATATCAAACTTTCGGTTTTGCAAAATTACCTTGTAGATGTTTCGGTTTACCAGTTCCATTCGTCATTACTATTCCACGTGCTTTATAATGAACTTTTGAGAATGCGATTGGTTCACTAATTATTGTTAAACAAATTAATGAAATTAAAATAACTAAACTTGGCACATATCACCGATTTGCTACTAACAACTGTTTTAAATTCATTACAACACCGCACATGTGTAAGCAATTTGTTTTTTTATTGCACGTCCTATTTGCTTTATTATTGTTTATCCATATTTAACTGGCACTTGAAGGAAGCACTTTTTGGCACGTGACGACGATTAAATATGCGGAGTCGCCGGCGATATGCTCATATTAATTAATTAACGGAGCTAATTAAAACTTCGTCGGTCAATTCTTTAAGTATCGGCTGCTGGAGCAGGCAGGGGATGATTCGGTTAAGTTTAACAATCGAAAGATCACATTGCACTGACTTGTTGTCAGCCAGCAGAAGTTAGTTGACAGCCTATGCAGAAGCAGGAGGGGTGTGGGCGCCCCACACTGGCGCCGGCCGTCTCGCCGCACGCTGTTTTGGTGTGAGAACTCACAGGCGTGCTGTGCTTGGAATGCGGACTCGACAGGTGCCTTTATTACTAACCACCCTTATTCGGCGGCCCACTTTAGCCTTTTTTTACCCAACCCCAACTTACGCGCCTTTTCTTTCGGTAACTAGCGCAATTTGTCGACATTAATTGCGGATCATATTTACATAAATCCACACTTCCGGTAATTTTCCAGCGGCGGCCCACGGAACATTTTTTACGCACCTGCTAATCTACGCGCTACTGGGTATAAAGCATACTCATAGTCACATGCTTTGCATCAACACCCACGTCAAAATCGACGACCTAATTCGAAATTGCTTATCAAACTTTAACGCAAAACAGGTCAAATGTCTGAATATTAAAAAATTAGGATCAAACTTTAGCAAAAGACGCAGATTTTGGCGAATGTTTTTTTGTTCTCGATATTTAGGTAAATTTACAAAGCGCTCTCCGCTTTATCAAAAATGACCTTAGCCTGGCTTAACTGGCACCCACCGCTTAAAATAATTTACTTACCCCAGATAACCCTTATCTTGAACTTGAACTTGAAAATGTACGCCCGTTCATTCATTATTTTTTTTTCTTGCGGCGATAGCCATATCGAAAACAACGCACTCAGCAGTTATCACGACGAACGTTCTTCGCTGACCTAAACAAACATTATGATAACCGTTTTCCTATCGTTACTTTTCGAATGTGGAATTTTCTGGTGTTTCGGGTTTTGGATGGGGAAATACAAGTCGCATATTTTGTTCTTGTACGAAGATGGATTTGCGCATAGGCCATTGGCGGCAAAAAGACAATGGTGGAGAGATTGTAAGATTTCTAGGATTACAAAAACAAAGTTTCGGACATGACTTATTCAAAAATGTCAAAGAAAACCCTTAGAAAATTCGCACAGTACATTTGATCAAGGTTTCAAAGATGAATTTCTGCTCGCAATTTTGATCATTTTACGGACATTCCAAGAGGTTAAAGCAGAGTGTCTTCTGAGAAGATAATTGATATTTTTTTAAATGGTATAATAAAATTGTTAACATAACAAAACAATGTAATAAAATAAGGAAGTGTCTACGTACCTAGCTTGGCAGAAAAATCTTCAGGTATGCCCTAAAATGTGTGAAAAGATCACAGGGAAGATACTGCAGAAGTTTGGATGCTACCTGGGAAGCGTATGATGACTTAAAAAAAAAGATAAAGGAAATATTGATCATCATACCGCTGTGGAACCCCACCTTCTAATTGATACTATTTGTTTCTACTAACTGCGAATGTGTAACGGTTTATTTTCTTCATTACAAGCTTTATTAGTGTGTATTCACTTGAGAAATCCTCGTAACTTTTCAATAGATCTACTGTTGGAATTTTAACCACGCAATTATACTGCGCAGTGCGTATCGATTTTCACTTTCTTCACCTATCGAGAACCGTATCAGGTTACACTTCATTAAAAATCAACAACTGAGGCGATAGTTGAGAACGCATGGAATTTTAATTGCCATCATCCATATTTTATTAATATCTGGCAATTGGATTCATTGATTTGCGGATGCTGGAAATATTGTTAGGACGGATTTACCTAAAAACTCCAATAGGGAGGATATAATTGGGTTTTTTGTTGGCTTATCGTAAGTACCGCCATTTGCATTTTCCGTAATTGAGGTAGGTATACTTTTTCTTTAGGTTCCACTGTCAGCTGTTAAACGACAATTTTTCATCGACAATTGTTGCTTCATCTATTTATTTATTTATTGAATACTCAAAACAACAGACACATTGTATCCAATGACAGTTTTGAGGACTAAAATAACTCTTAAATTCCGTGATATGAATTATGAATAAAAATAATTGATGAGTATAAGGTAACGAAAAAACAAAAAAACTAACTAAATAATCATGAACTGTTTCTTAAAATGCGATAATGTTACATCGAATCTACATCTAGCCCTCTTATTTAAGAGGTACGTACATTTTATGATATCAGCGAAGAAGGTTACCTTTGATTTCTTTTAAGGTTTCAATTTTTAGTTTTAATGTTAGTTCAAATTGAAGTTTAATTCAACTATAAGAACCACCTTAAGTTTCGGCGACCCTTTACCTACAATTCTGTTGACCACCTGTTGATTTTATGGAATTGTGTCGCCGGGTCATGATCGAAATTCCATCTTCAACAAAGAGACAACTTCCCTAACTCTTTAGCGTATTAATTAATCCTTATTTTGCCCCTTCTGGGTTACATGCTGTCACATTCAAGTGGTTTGTTAACGTTAGTACCTATTTAATATTTTCGCCATCTCGGTTAAGTTATGATCGAGTTTGAAACGTGAATATTGTTGGCCGATTAAGTACCGTACCTGCTATAGAAGCAGATTACGAGTAGGGCCAGGCCTTTCAGGCATTAGTCAATTTATTATATACCGAGCCCTGCGGCTTGGGAGGTTTTCTTTTGATTATTTGCAGGTTTTGTATGTGAGAACTGACCTCACTTCTTGGATATAAATGTTTAAGTAGATTGATCTTCACTATAATAGTTATAGCTCTGATGGTTATGTAAGCGAATGAATTATTGGGGAAAATTGTATTTTGATTGTAAGTCGGAAATTGTTAACTTTCTAATGGGAAAATCAAAATATTGTTTTGTTTCATAAAATGTTTTCTTGCGATTAAACTCGTCGTTTGTGCTTTAATTGCGACAAACTTGGGCAGTTGTCGCACAGTCGGTGAGCTTTAGTCATACAAAAAACTATTAGCCGAATAATTATTAATGCCTAATTTAAACGAATCAATAAATATACAATTTATATGGCGTTAGTCGGCGGCAATCAGTTGTCGGCGGGAAACGGCTGAACGAACGGACTCGAGCGCCACCAGGTGAAAATCTCGGGCCTGGTCGAGGTCGGCGATAGCAACGTCCTGCGGGTCGGTCGCTGTAGCCTCTGGGGTACTCTCAATCGGAAAAACGGTAGCTCCTGGAATACGGCCGTCGAATCCAGCAAATGGCGGCGGTCACTTCGGTAACTAAAACAAAATTAAAGCCTAACCGGCAAATTTCCTAGCGGACGGAAAACAATTAAGCACGATCAAATTAGCGGCTTCTACGGAAAATAATTTCGGCAAAACGTACGGAAGATCCCCCCTTTCTTCGAAAAGAAAAGCTTACCTTGCGAAAAATTAACGGAGCAGAAAAATAATAGACTTACTTACGGCAAGAAAAGATCTTACGGAAAATGGCGGTACCTACACAACTTACTAGTGACGGTAAAAAAATGCGAAATTACAAACTGCAAAAGATGCTTCCAAAATTGAGCGTTTACCTTATAAAGAAAACCCAATTCGGAGGAAGTGGACAGGGAAATTCCAGCTAGTCGCTATATTCGCTCCGAAAGCGATGCAAATGAATTCGGTTTTTAATTAATTACCGGAATACCGTAATTATCGGAAAAATATAAGAGGGACGTCGGATTTCTCGTTTTTTAAGCGCGGTCATTTTAAGATAACTCGATGCCGTCTGCCGGTTTTTTCTACAACTCATTAAAACACATTCATTAACCATGCTTACCCAGTTAGGCGCGATCAAACCTTAATACTCATCAATCTCATTGATACCTATTGTTAATTGAAATTTTCCGGCGCAACAACTGTTGTCGTTATCTACACCTCGGGGTGTCTGCAGGACTGATACCGTGTAAACACTCGATGTGGAACTCGCTGCTATCCTGGCTCTCCTCCAAAACGCTTAACAATCAATTAACGGCGCTGAAATATCAAAATATTAATCGACTTCCCTCTTCCTTGACAAGAGAGCACTATTTAATTATTCCTACAGGAAGGGTTGGAAGAATCTGATCAATTCATTACAACACTTACGTACTTAATGGCGGTAAAATAGACAATTACGCAAAATGAAACACATACAACTCACTCTCGAGCAAAATAATTAAAATCCGGAACTTTTCAGTAAAGCAGCGCTAAGTCTTAACGGTTCATGGTACCAGAATTCTGCAAATATGCGGTGTGGTCACAACTCACAACGTCGGGTATGAAACACACGGCGGAAAACGAGTGCTTCGTTACATAATTTCGTGCGTGAAGTCAGCTGGGCATTTTGAATTGTCTATAATTTTTGTGTAGTTGGTTCTGCTGATTATACAGCACAAACTAGGACAAACGATTAAACCTAAATCCGTCGTTTGTGCTTTTCATGTCCTGCTCACAATTAATTGATTGACAAATGAAATGCGAAATGACAAACATTTATTCCAAAACACAAAGAAACAAAAAACAGAATCCCTGAAAGAGAGAAGCGCTTGTTTGGACATATTACTCCGCACGCAGGCAGGCGGTCTAAAAATAAAATAGGAAACATAAAATTACTTACAGTTTTTTTCTTAATAATCAATTTTCGATGGCTGTTCGGACGGTAGAAACTTTTAACTCTCAATAAGAAGGAAACCTTAACAAAAGGCTTCGTGTGCCTGAGGACTGCCAAAGAGCTTGCTTATGATTATTTTATTATTGCATTAGTATTGTAAACCCACTGCAGTACCAAGGCTCCCTGTTTCGAATCCGGGTTGGGGCGTGGATATTTGCAATGTATGTTCGGTTGGTAGAGCAGCCTTGGATGAAACCCCACCCACTTAAAAATAACTTGTGCGCGACCTCTGGTGTCCTGTTTGCTATAAATCCAATGTGACCGCCAACTTTATTGGTATTTTTAATAGATAGACACAAAATCTTGAGCAATACACTTGTTGGATTTATGCCGATGGAGGGGAGGAGAGGAGAGGAGATATCGAGAGAATTTGAACAAGCAAAAGAACACTCCAAAGCAATCTGAAGAATCAGGGAAATTCAACGAAGCCTTGAGAAGCTCCCCTTGGATGCGAAAAATAGAAGTCTTAAGAAATGAACGAGTCTGCTGGGTCCTGAA